TTGATTGTTTAAACGAGCACTGAATTGATTTCATGAAAAGTGTCATTGTTTTGTTTTTATAGAAGCACATGACAAAAAAACCACACAGTATTTTTCGGGGGTGGCGGTGGCTGCTGGTATTTGGGACATGTTTGGTTGCAGGAGAATAAAATGTATAATTGGATTGTCTAACCCTTCTGTGCAGGCCTCAGAGATATCTTTAATCAGACTAAAAGAGTAAACTGTGGTGGTAATTAAGAGCTTTTGAGGTCATTGCCCACAAAGTTTAAAACTGTTGTGTAGGAACGGTGCCAGTTTAGACGATTGAGAACATCACCCTTAAAATCTAATAACCAAATCTGAGTGCTTTTTGTCTGGAACTGAAACGATCAACCAGTTCCTGGAGCCAGTCGATTGATCCTCATTTCATCCAGTCAGCACCATTTACCATCTATTAAAACCCGTCAGCGCTATTGATAATCCATTAAAGATGACCAGGCGGCTCTATTTCCCCACATCTGAGCCCTCTCCAGAGCCACTGCCTTTCATTGATCTGTGGTTATCTGAGCTGTGAGCTCATAGCCCGTGTATGTGTCCAATTTCCGCCCTGTATCCACCATCTTGAACGACTGGCATGTATGATATTGAGGGTTAGGCTTATGGGACACTGGAGATATTGGCCTTCTCATAGGTCAATGTGTGCTCTCCTCAGGCAACACTTTGGACTTATTGAAACATCTTCCGGCAATATGCAGCTAAATCAGGTGCTTCTCAGTTTGAGGACAGCAAACATGGGGGGAGAAGGGGGACTGGAGCACACTGATTAAGTGAAAACTATGCATGTTTTGACATTACTCTGTCTTCCTCAGAGTCAGAGTGGATAAAGACATAACTGCAGTCAGTGTGCTACAGTCCCTTTTTCCCCTTTTAGACTTAGCTTGGTTTCCTCTCTTCTGTTTAATTTATCTGTATGGATGAGTTAGCCTCTGTCATCTTTGTCACAACCTCCATTCATTCAAAACGTTTTTATTCTTGACTAATATATGCATGTTGGTTCTTTCTGGGTAAAATAATTGCCAGTCCCTGATAGTCATTTATATTACAATTTAAATTGAGTCGATTGATTTTTATATTGTCTATGGTATTGCATTATGCATCAATCTGTAAATGCTGAATTATATGAGAATTATATGAGTATATATAAGTATTAAAAAGTACTGAAGAGAGATTTTCTTGCCCTCTCTGAACTACCACGAAACCGTCACAATCCAATGCCATTACACAATATAAAGATAGGTGACAAATTAAAGAAAAAATCCTGAATGAATGAGTGTAGAAACATGTAGGTGTACAATTAGGCAATGCAATTAAGAGATCAACAAGCAAACAGCCAACAGATTTTGGACAGAGACGGTGCTCTCATGTTATTAAATGAAGGAATATCTGTGGAAAATGGTGTTCATCCTTCCAATAGAGTTCAAAGACTTGTAGAATCTATACCAAGGAGCACTGAAGCTGTTCACATTACTAAGACATTTTTTAATTAATTAAAATCATAATTATAATCAACATAATTTGCCACCCATCTTATGTCAGGTTGACTGCTTTAATTTATCACCAATCAGGTCACAGCATCATCCTCAGCACCGTTTGCTTGTCATTGGAGGTGCACTGCATGTGTGATCAAGCAGTATATGTCTGTCACCATGCATTTTTTAATAAGTCGGGTACTAATTTCAGACAGATTGCATGTGCAGATTGGATGACTTTACATAAATTGGACCCTCGGGCCCCCGTAAATTTAGAGCTCCCCTAATAAATGTTTATGTTTCGACAGCATTTACAAAGATGGAGGAAACCACAGCTAATTGTCAGTCCACCCTCAATCTCTGAATGACCTTTCTGTGTCTGTAGGTGTTCTCTTATCTTGTATATAGAACAGGGAACTGAAACAAAAAACAACATAACTGATGCAAGTGGACTGTTCAGGATGAAAAGGTTAGTTATACTACCAGGCCTAGCATATCAGGTTAAACTGTTTGCTCACCCAACTTAAATCTATTTCCACTTACCTTTTGGTGGCATTTAGCCATGCAACCATGATTTAATTTGGCCAGATTTTGAGATTTGATGTCTAACATTATTGCCTCCACTCCAGTGTAATAAAGTTGAATTAATTACATGGTTTGTCCTAGACATTTTACCTTGCTTGCTGTAAAATATTTTCTAATTGGTTACAATCTGTGTATCCCTCTCACACTCACACAAGCTGCGTCCATGATGATAGTTATATCTTTAAGACAGATAAGTAAGTACCATGCTATTATAAAGCACACAAGTGACCCATAGCCAGATACAACTGGGTAATACCAGCAGCAGCAGGAGGGGAAAAAGAACACTTACCTACTGCAGGACATGTGGACCTGGACTGCTTATTTATCTCCAGTATGTTTGCATGAAGTCCTCCTCACCTCTGCAATTAGTCCTCCTCCTTCCCCTGAGTTCCCTGGTCTTTGGCACATGTGTCCTCCCTACAGTCTACTATGAGAGTGAGAATTGATGAGTACTACCAGAGAAAGAGAGAGAGAGTGGGGCTTTGTTGCTTTGGCCAATCAATAGTGGGTGTGGTCTTTCAGCAGATGGAGCTATGCCTGGACAGGTGACTGTAACAAATAAGGATGAAGGTCTTGTAGTAAGCGATGAGGTGGAAAAGAGGTGTGCAAGGATGAGAGAGCATGAGTGGACTTGGATCCCTCATCCATCCTTCGCATTGCCTTTTCTTTTATATGGTCCTTGACTATAATTGCCCCAACGGAAGAAGGGTGTGATAATAAAGATTGGATGAATCCATTTGGAGAATGGAAATTAGAGGACATGGCAGAAAATCTGGTGTTGTCTTTAACACCAGTATAATACATGCAAACTACTTTTGCAGTGTTATGTATTATGAGTGGTTCGTCAAACCAAATACAAACTGTGTATAGCTTTACATACATATCTATACCTTTTAAGTTAACTGAATCATTATAATAATAGAAGTGTTAATTAAATAATATAGCAAGCAGTGGTGGCTTTGGAGACATTTTGCCAATGGTTTGTTGACACCTGCAATTCTTTTCATAATGTCATCACGACATGTGTATAGCAGAGCATCGTGGTATTCTTAGATGTGAAAAGATAAATTTCCCCCTTAGTTGCCTATTTCTTGGAAAATAATTATCCTTTTTCATCTTTACGCCACATAGGCATTGAAGGGGTGTATATACCAAGATGGATCATCTAGTTAATCTTAGCAAGGAATGATACTGAATTTACCAGTTAAAAACCCCTTATGATCTTAGTACAGAATCTGATCTCAAATGCTTGTAAACTTAATATCTGTACTGATTTATCAATTTTTGTATTATAACTTTCTTTTGAAAAGATTCTCACGGCAATGGTTAACCTTTTTTATTGTTTATTTATATGGGGATCCAAATATAAAAATTAAAAAAAAGGTTAAGCAGGACTCTCACCCTAACCCCTATGTGCCTACAGGACTTGCATGTTTTGTAAATATGTGTATAGATAGTCTTAAAGACCTTTTTTAAGTAATTGATGAAATTATCTTTTAATGTTTTTATACAACATCATATGTCTCTATATTTTTCAATTGTTTAGCCAACTATACATTTTTTGAAAAGGCTAAATTAATACACGCCCATGTGTCCATTTCTTAATAGCCCCTTACTTTTAGGTTGTCTTCTTTTAAAAGATCGGAATATTTTTGGGACAAACTACCAAAAATATGGATGTTGATGTATTGTCTTAACTTTTTTTAAATTTTCAGTGATTGTGGTGAACTCAGCTGTATCCTTGTAACTTGTTGATCCTGTCACTGATTGTGGATTACCTTCCAGTAGAGGATATATATATACTAAGATATAGGGATGTGCGATCATATTCTCTTCAGTAGATATCGTCACTGACAGAAATTCCTGATATTTAAGTCTCAGATTTCCAACTCGGAGGCTGACGTGACAAGTTTTTTCAACCTTAGTTCTTGAAGCTGATGCTTAAAAGGACAGTTCAACACTAAAGCATTTACGGTAGAAAACTGTTGTTGCATTGCTCGCTAGGGGTTGAGACGCTGAATCTTGTAGCACTTCTGGCCACACCCTCAACCAATGAGGTCACAGCAGTTGTTTTCCATTAGCAGTTAATGATATAATACCTCTTTTGATGCAACTGATTGGGTTTTGGCATGAAGTACAACATGCTTAAAATTTCAACCCGCAAACTCTGGCTCTCACAAAGACTTAATTTCATAAATAGAAAATAAATTAATTTGTCCACTTAATAAGAAATGGAGGGCATTTTTGGCCTGCCTGTTCTTTGATATTGAAGCTATACAACTTTAAAGCAAAAGTACCAGTGTTTTATAGGTGCACTTTCAGGAAGGACAACTATAATGAAACCCTCAGATTTATTGCATAGTTCACTCTGGCATCTGTTTTTAAAGCTAAAGTATTTTGAACAAGCACGCATATATGCCAGAGGGTCTGAGCATGACCTCATAGCATGAGGCAAGAGGTATGCACGAAGAAGTGGTAGCAACAGTGAGGCTAAATATAACCAGATGCTTGGATTGAGGTCTGCTGCATTGTTGTTATCTATGGGAAAGTTTTTGTGTATTTCTACTTTTTACAGAAATGCACTGCCTGGTGAGCACTCTCATCTGATGAGCAGCCTAAACAGACTGACACATAATGTGCAAATGCCAGATCTCTGGTTCAGGGGTTACTGTGCTACTGACAAGTGTGAAAACAAGATTCTAACGCCATAAATTTTTATCCATATATGTCTGTTTCTAACATGGCATGGAGGTCAGGCATATTTGTTAATAACAAAACCTGAAATGTGTTCTCAGATCTGCTTTGCCTCATATTAATAGTTTCTTTATCTTGCAGAAATCCCAGCTGCAGTAAGTTAATCCATAAATGCAGAATTGTAATGAGGAAATTTCCCTCTTCTTTATTCAGATGCAGCAGAGGAGGAGGAGACGCAACAAGAGAAGGAGCCAACAGAAAAACCAAAGGCAAAACCAGAGAAAAGGAAGAGTGTAACAGAGAAAACAGTTAAAGCCAAGAAGAAGAAAAAGAATGAACAGGTATTAATGTTGTCTTCACTGTGTAAAATCTGCCAATCCGAAGTTTTTTCAGGATCTTATTCTGTTTGAACAGATATCAGGAAATGTATCAGTAATAGCACAAAATCTGCCTGTAATGCTTCGTGTGTCGTGAGTAGTAAAATCAGTGTTCAATATGCCAATGTGATGTATTGGTGTCTGTTTTAGAGCTGAAACAATTAGGCTGTTAATTTGTTAGTTGATCAACAAAAAATTAATTGGCAACCTTTTTGATTATCAAAATGCTTTAACTGTGTATTCTTCATGTATTATTTTCACAGAAAGAGTGTGTTGTTCCTCAGATAAAAGAGACCGAGGGTGAAAAGTCAACTGAACATAAAAAAAAGAGGAAGGTGAGTGCGTTGACACCTGCTGTTGCAAACCAGTACAACAGTCACTGTGCTTAGTGAATGTTACTGAACATGACTATATTTTGTTTACCAGAAGAAGAAGACAATTACAGATGTGTTGTCCTCTTCGGAGCCAAAACCAGGCTGTCCAGCTGACCTGCAGAACCTGGTTACGCAGTACTTCTCAGACAAGCTCTCTGTGATTGAGCAGGAGGAGCTGAAATTGCAGGGTGAGTGCAGGGCAAGTCCCCTTTAACTTTAAACTTAGTCAATATCTGCTGATCTGTGATTCACCAAGGTCACCGTCTGCCCTTCTGCATCTCCCAGAATCCGGCTTCTTGTCCAGTAATGACTTGACGCACACGCTCTCCTCGTATCTGAAACAGGGTGAGAGATGTTCTAAACTCAAATCTTCAATGAGCTGTTTACTTTTGAAGACTGAACTCTGTTTTATTTCCTTTTTTCCCTGGTTTTTAAAGTTTGTCCCAAGTGGTCAAAGATTCAAAAGCAGCATACAGAAAAGAGTTCTGTGGTTCTGCTCATCGTCTGTAGCTCTGCTCTCCGAGCCATTGAGCTCATCAAGTAAGTGACACACCAGTGGAGTTTGCTAAATTTCCTGCATTGCAACTTTTTAATTGGGTTTACATGCGTGCTGTTTGTGTTGTGTTGTACCCAGGCAGCTGACAGCATTCAAGGGTGAAGCCAAAGCAATTAAGCTTTTTGCGAAACATATCAAGGTATAAGAGATGACCGGTCATTATGATGCATGTGGTTTGTGCACTATGACAAGTTAACTGTTGTCTACGTGTGTCTACAGATAGAGGAGCAGGTGAAGCTGCTGCAGAAGGGTGTTTTCCACATTGGAGTTGGGACTCCTGGCAGGCTCGGTGCTCTTATTGAGAAAGGTAGGTGTTGACACAATAGCCCTGCTGCTTAACTTCAAAAGCATTTAAGGTCTCATTATTTTGTGGAAACTCTTTATTTTTCTCCAGAGGGTTTAAACTTGCAGGCGTTGAGATACGTGGTCCTGGACTGGAACTGGAGGGACCAGAAGCTCCGAAGGATGGTGGACATTCCTGAGGTGAGTTACTGCCACCTGGTGGACGGAAAAGATTATCTTTGACTGATCACACTGAATGATTTTATTAAATGTTTGATATTTTGAGGATGTTTGAAGTCCTCCTCCACTCAAAAGTGTGTTTTTACTTATTGTTAATTCACTTGGATGTTTGCTCTTCCCTGTGCAGAATAATGAATGTGCACAGTTTGATACTAGCATGCTGAAATTCATCTGCCGAGAGGGGAAAGTTTCTTCTAGTAGTTCAACTTTTGAAAGAGAGAGGGGTAGATTTCAAAATTTCTATACATTTCTGTGTTATACATCATGTGCATGTCTATTTCAGATCAAACTGGACTTTATGAAGCTGCTGGAAAGTGGTATCCTGAAAGGCTGTAAAGAAGACAAAGTGAAAATTGGACTATTTTAACTGCACATTGTAATTTTTACTGTGTGCTGATAATCCACATGACGCAATGTTTTTTAAGCTACATACTGATGTTCCTCACAACACGCTGAGGGGCCTCATCCTGTTTGTATTCCCTTTGTGTCGGTTTGAAATCTGTGCTTTTACTGTTCTCAGAGGCCGTGTCAAATGTGTGGTGGTTGTTTGTTCGCTCTTGTAGTCCAATGCGATGTCCCAGTGTGATGGATTGAATAAACGGACTCAGAATGAAACCAGCATCCTTCTGTTTGTTTAGTCTGACCCTGGGAAGTCCCTCCTACTGAGAATGTGAGGTCATGAGTTTACTTGCCCACCAGGAAGTCCCATTTATCGTAACATGCTTTGATAAAGCATTTTAAAGCAGCATGAAGGGGGCACAGAACCAACAGATTATCTCCCACAGCACATTTGAAAAAATATGTAAAACACACATCTGGGTCATTTTGATGTGAATAACGAGAAACCTGTGTTGTCTCGTAGGAAGGAAGCAGAAAAGAAGAACCAAACATAATCACAAAGAAAACTGGAAGTAACAGAAAGAGGTTGTTAAGTAAAGGATTGTGGTTAATAAGTAACGGGCCACAAAGGTTTCCGCCACCCTGCAAGGCCTGCTGGGAAAATTTCTTGGCAAGCAGAGGTGTGTGTGTGTGTGTGTGTGTGTGCAGGGAGATATCGCTGAAATAAAAAACAGGAAGAGGAGATAGAGCAGGGCCTTCTCTGAAATACTTTTTGGATCTCCAGCTGTCAAAGTTCCTCTTCTGTCCCTTACCGAAGGTCCCTCTCATGGGCAAAGTGAAGGGCGAGTCTGGGCGCTTTGCTCGGAGGCCAGACAACTCTGCTTTCAAACAGCAGAGGCTACCTGCCTGGTCTCCCATGCTAACAGCTAACACTGTGCTGCCTTTCTTCTACTTCATGGCTTTGATATGTATGCTACTGGGAGTATGGCTGCTTCTTACAGTGCAGAGCACACAGGAAATAAAGGTGAGTGTGTGTTTGCTTCTGAAAATTGCACTTAGTTGTTTTTTTGATATGTGGAAATATTTTAGTAACACACAAAATGTACGTGTGAGAGATGAAGAGAACGCATGTCATTGTGTGCAATAAAAAATGGAGGGACAAAGAGAAAATATCAAAGATTATGCTTTGAGTTAGGTAGTTTATTCACAATTTATTATACTCTAATGAACTCTCTACTACCTTCTCAGCTGGACTACACAGAAGCCGGGACGTGTGATATATGTTTTGAAAAGCGTAAAAATGTGAGCTATGCGGCACAAACCTGCAGCTGCAAGGTGGTGTTTCCCATCGAGAAAGCATTCAAGGTAACCATCTCTTTAGTGTGACAAAATAATCTGAGCTCGAGGTCCATGTAAGATTTTCTGGAGAACAAGTATGGTTCAAAGCTCTGAAAAAGCTTGGCCCTTGAGTAAAGATTATTTTGTAAAACTACTATATTCCAAAGTCAGGCATCAACATTCACACCCAATATCCAGCATGCCCTATTTCCAGTGCTTTCATTTCTTTGTCAGCATTTGTGTTTGCACACCTATGCTGATATGTATGTATGTATGTATGTATGTATGTATGTATCCTACTGCGGTTCCAGGGAGATGTCTTTTTCTACTATGGCCTCCAAAACTTCCATCAGAACCTCCGCAGATACATGGACTCCAGAGATGATGGACAGATGGTTGGCAGGAAGAAAAACTTAAAGGTAACTCCAGTAATTTATCACTGTAACATTGTTAGGACACTTTATTTACTGTCAGTATAATAATATTCACATGGACAAAAAATACTGTAAGTGACCCTTTCAGCTCCAAGATAGCTTTGTTTGAAACTGAAGTAGAACACTGATTTGTTTTCTTTTTAATGCAGAGGTGGACAAACTAAGACTAGGTCTTTTGCTTAAGTCAAAGTAACAACACTACATCGTAAAGATACTCTTTAACAGCAAAGTGTACGTAAAGTATCAAAAGTAAAAGTAGTATTTATACAGCAGCGATTGTTATTGCATATTATAATTTTTTTTTACTGATTTAATTACTGTGTAAGCAGCATTTTAATGTGGTAGTGGGTGGAGGTGAAGCACATTTTAAAAACTACACAAAAATACGCTTACACGTACCATAAAATTGTACCTTTTGTATAGTGCTTCACTAAATCTACTCAGGACACCACTGTTAAATAATCTTTCTGAGTGTCTCCATTAACATTGTTTCCTGACTAGAACCCCAGTTCATACTGCGAGCCATATGCAAAAGACCAAAATGAACTCCCTATTGCCCCCTGTGGCGCTGTGGCCAACAGTATCTTTAATGGTAAGCTCCACTAATGACACATCAATCATCACGTCCATCTTCTACTTTCCCTCTCACTGGCCTCTTAACTCCCATCTGTTCTCCCAGACTCCTTTTCTCTGACCTATCACGGCTCCAGTGGTCTTTCAGTGCCGGTTCCTCTGTTAAGGGAGGGTATTGCCTGGTATACGGACAAAAATATCAAGTTCCGCAATCCGAAGATTGAGAACTTAACACTGGCTCAAGTTTTTGAAGGTAAAATTGAATGAAACCTTGATCAAACACAGTTTAGTAAGTACTCCAGTATACCAGATATCATTTATCATGTCTGTTTTGTGATTGCTACATAGGTACAGCAAAGCCTCTGTACTGGCAGAAGCCTGTGTATGAGCTTGATACCCACAACCCGTCCAACAACGGCTTCATCAATGATGACCTGATCATATGGATGAGAGAGGCAGCCTTCCCCAACTTCAAGAAGCTCTATGGAGTTTTATACCGAGCCAACAATCCCTTTACTAAGGGTCTGCCAGAAGGAAATTACAGCATTGAGATATCGTATAGTATCCTTTCACTGCTATGTTTTTCATGGGAACTTGTGTGGGTTAGAATAGGTTACACGTGTCCCACTGTGTGCACTTGTTTCCTTTATCTTATCTGCTGTTAAACACAAGCATATGGAGAGACTATTTTAAGATTGCAGGCCTGCTATTTTCCATCGAGCTCCTCTTTGTGATCACCTATTTTCAGCCTTGACCTCTGCCTTTCCAGACTTCCCAGTGCAGTACTTCCAAGGCAGAAAGGAAGTGGTGCTGACCACACTGACCTGGTTTGGAGGTCAGAACCATTTCCTGCCCATTGCTTACCTAGTAACCAGCAGCTTGATCCTACTGATAGCCGTCACCCTCACTGTGGCCTGGTTAAAGTTCGGGAAGAATGGGAATAACATGGAGGAATAAAGCATAAAACGTGCTCTGGGATGGTGAAAAACTCACAAGCAGCTGAAAAGTGATAATTCTCGCGTTGCTTAGGAGCGGTTTTAAACAGATAACAAATCTGAAATGACAAGAACATTGTTCATTTGATACAATACCACAGCAGCATGTGTTGGAAAGCCAATGGAGAATCAAGTTTGACATCTGGAAATTTACTTTCCCTATCAACTAAATGATCCACATGTGTTACGGCTTCTATTGCGATGATGTTGCTCTGAACAACACACTGAAAGTTGGGGGTATTACAGGCTTCAAGCTTTCTCTACATCTCTCAATTTTTAAAGCACACCATTTTGTCTGTGCACTGTTAATATTTATGAATATAATTATATTATATTACATTAACATTTACTAAAATCCAGTCATGGTGTTGAGGCTGCATTTCACATCTCAGTAAATGTAAAGTGGAAAAACGACTCTTTAATAAAGTGTAACAGAAGAACACCATCTGTGAGACAATCCCTGTAATGCCAATTATTAAGATTGAATAAAAGGTGACATTTTGTGGACAAGGTTTTTAATTACAGCACAGTTAAGATTAGTCAGTGTAGCTTCAATGTCAGCGTCCTTATATGGAACCACAGATGCTAAATGCTATTTTACCTTATAACAAGACCTGAGTGTAGAGCCATGCTAGCACCTCTGTGCGGCTGTGCTTGGGCACAGCAGTGCATTGAACTAAATGCCAACATCTGTATGCCTAACATATTGATGATTTGCAGTATAACGTTTACCACGTTGACCATTTTAGTTTAGCATGCTCATGTTTGCTAATTAGCACTTAACTTAAGTATAGCTGGGGCTGACGGGAGGTATGTAGTCAAATTAAAATTTTTAACTTTAAATGTGTGTCATTTACATTTATGGAAGCATTGATGTCTGGACCGATGGATCAACAGACATTGCCATGTGACATGTTGGGCAAGGATAAAATACTTAATCAACTGTAATTTGCTATACTTGAAGTCTGTAAATGTCAGTTAGCTCATGTTTGTGTAGACAAAGTAAACAGACATTTGTACTGTATATTATGGCCCATAAGATTGTAATAAAGCATTTCCTTTTATAAACTCTTTATTTCTCTATATACAATCAGTGAGACACAAACACAATCCCTCTGTGACCAGGGAGCACCAAAACTCTATGTAAATTGCCTTGGCTCTTGAGCATAATCAAAGCATGATTGGTGGCACAGCTGTGTGAATAACACCTTCCCCGGCGTGAGGTTGCTATCCTGCAATGTTATAAAGCAGCCTGTTCCTGCTCCGTCCGAGTGTTTGGTCAGATTAGTACCACAGGAGAGGAATGCAGTATACTGGTGCTACAATGACTGAACACATCCTACTACAACTATAAGCCGTATCCAAACCAGTCCAAAAAACAAACACACAGGACTGAAATATCGAAACAGCTTACCACGCATACAGATGTTGATGCACATAAGATACAAGGCAGGAACAAGTCACACTCAAATGCATTAGGACAGATCAAACACCCATTTCAACACGAGACAATCACCACGATGCACAAATAAAATCTAAAAGTTCAGGACAAACACACAGGAAACTCTGAAATCATCAGCTGTAACAGATTTACCCATCTACCTCTTCTCTGTACCTTTTTACAAGTACATCATCAACTAACAAGGCTTTTAAAAAGAAATTACCTACATTAAGACTGCTTTAATGTTTGGCTAAATTTGCACTGTTGGCACAATTGTGGAAGTTGGTTCTGTTTTAAATTGACATTGCGTAAACACAAAGGTCAAAATTTGGTCTTCAATAGCATAACTTTTTTTGAGTGGGGGGCGGGGGGTCATTGGATAGATTCTCCCGATAAGCCTTTTCAAGTTTAATACCTGACAAAGTTAACTACTTACAGTCAGTAATGTGTCCACAACAGTGCAACCACAGGTCTTTGATCTGTAATCAGGAAGGGTAGTGGTGGGCTATTTACTTTAACAAGAGTTTCTCCTCATCAGCAGGATGTGAAATAAAAATAAATATCAGTAAGTCATCTGAGAGTTTAACAGGTTTGCAGTAATGGAATTATTAGAACTATACACAATTTCAAGTCATGCTTTTAAACAAAGTAAGACAAAACGTACCTTGGTAAACTAGAGTTTCTCTAGAAAGGAGGAATTTGACCTTGAATGTGGGATACTACTTAATGCAACATGCAATTAATTCAGTAAGAGAACCCTTAGATTTGATGAATGTATCATCATGTACATTTTAGTTGAACCTGGTTCAGTATGTAACAGAATAATAATGGAAAAATGGAAATCACAGTTTCACAGAATACAAGGACTACTAAGAATCACAGAACAGGGACAAAGTCTTAGTCAAATAGTAGTCAGCTTTCTCCTTTTCATCCCCCACCCCCATGTCTGCCTCTCAGACCTGGCACAAGCACATTCATCTTTGTGGATTCAGTGATAGGACTGTAATGGCACTACACAAGCAGATTGTGGCCATGCAGAAACATTTAGGCAATACAGACATCTCCAGATGAATCTAAAGCTAAGGTAGTGTTCATTCAAGATTTAAGACCAGGCCTCACAGGTTCACACCTCCTCCTTTTACAACCTTCCATCCATGTCCATTGGGTTGTGTCGGCAGTGAGGGGCAGATTAAGGTCATGTGCATCCAGATTCTTCAGCTCTGTCCCGTTGGCTTCTGAGTGCTACTCTGAGGTACCTGATAGGTGAGATCCTCAGTGGGTGTGACCTGTCCAGTGGCATTCTTGGGTGTATCATAAGCAGACCTCCCTGAATGGCTACTGTCTGTCCGTGTGAGCAGAGAGGCCGGCCCGGCACCCATGAAACTGCACACTGTGGAAGGCTGGCTCAAAGAGGAGCCCCCTGATGGATGGCAACCCATATCAACCACAATGGGTGTAGCGTATTCAGATCCCGAAGCTGGCAGGGGTTCTGCATAGGCGTGGTATACTTCTGGAGAGATGGGGGCGTCGTACAGGTCAGGGTCAGAATATCCTGGGTCGGGCCCCTCGTCCGGTTTAAAGGTTGACCGGGGACCTAATGTTGTAACACCGCTCACCAGTGGCTGAGCATATTCTGAAAAGAAAGCATGTCATTGTGTGTTAACAAAAAAAAAAAAAAAGTTACCAGTGTCAACAACATGCCTGATGAGTCTACAGAAGCTGAGCAACTAAGGAAACAACATAATTTCAAAGAAAAGACTGCCACTGCAGTGTATTAAAAAAATAAAGAAATGGATACTTTGACTTTTTGAAAATAACTCATGTGACATTACAAAAAACGAAACACTACAACAAAAAAAAACATGATTTGAAATTACATTCCTTGTTTTAACACAGTTGTGTATACAACAATTGGTGGCTGTAATTTTCTATTAATAGTTGTTTAGTAATAAAGGAGGAGAAGAAGAGGACCACAAGTTAGTGTTTAAAAAAAAAAAAAAGCAGCAACATTCAAAATAAAGGTTTTGCAAGGTAGGAAATTTACTCTTTTTCTTGTTATGCCATAAGAATACTCGCATTGAATTTAAATAAAACCCTTCATACTCCATAGGGTGCCTTCAATAGCAGCTGAAACCATCTTAAGAAGTGAACCATTAAACATGTTACTTTCACTAAGAACTCTTGGTTACTTGAACAGTATTTACCTGCAGGTTCAGCATGTAGTCTGGGTACAGCACCTCTACCTGTTATCCGGCCCACTTCGCTGCTGCTGTACCGGACTGAATCCTCTGTCTCCACCATCTTTGAAGGCAACAGCTGCTTCATGCTTTTCCACCAGTCTGCAGCAGAAGCACAGTGTGATGGCACCAGTACGAAAAACATAACAGAGCTCTCAGCCTGTACTGCAGACAGATTACATACCTGTGCGATCCCAGTGAGGGAGATCATATGTTCCTTCAGAGCTCTTTTTCCTGTGAAGAGAAAAATAAGTTCTGAACAACATTTTCCACAAGATTTTCCACACACTGTAATGTAAATACATACCTGTTCCTCCAGTGCCACGCACAAACCACAATCAAAATGAGAGCGGTTAGAACCATGACCAACACAGGCACCAGAACTGCTGCCAGCGCCACATCTAAGAGTAGAAGTACTACAATAAATACCATATGTTTCTATTAGGGATCAAACAAGCTTTTTTATAAAAAAAAAATTAAAAAATTGACGCACCTTTGTCGGTGTGAGGAGGCATAGTGGTGTTTCTTATGTCCGGGGTGTGTGTGGTTTGGCCAACGGGAGGTGGGTGTTTGGTACCCACAGGAGGTGGTGTGTGACGAGAGGGGGGAAACATCCTTGGCCCAGGCTGCATCTCTGTCCACCGCCTCACTGTCAAAAAGAATAGAAAAAAAATATTTTACAACTAAAAATTCTGCATTTAGTTTGAACTAAATTCTTTTTACAGGATATCCATCTAGAACCACCTCTACCTACCTGAGGAAATCTGGCAGCCAAGCAGCTCCAACTTGAGCGCGATTCTCTGGTGCCATAGGGTTGGATTTATCCTCACAAACCGGGCCTCAATTGGAGGTATGAAGTTATTCCTCACCTCATGCAGATAGTTGATGTTGCCTTGGAATATCTACCAGAAAAATGAGAACAAACCCAACTATAGCCCAAAAGTAGTAGTTTAGAAGAAAAAAAAAAAAAGAGTGCAGCAGAGCAATTCTTGTTGCAGGCTGTGAACAGAATGCACTTATAAGCTGATTACTTTCCAACTTGGCACACTAATAACTACTTTCCGCCAAACAATACAAGCCTGTGAGAATCCTAGCAGAGAGAGCAGCTCGTAGACAGCAGCTCCAGCCTAACAACCCAGCCACTAAATCCATATCCATCCATATCCATTCAATATTAATGCCCAAGTGTCCTGACTTGTCTACCACAGCACTTAACTCAAACCACTGACTGCCCTCATTTCCTGCCATAAACATCTCTTAGTCAATACCGGTTGTTATGGAAACAGTCCAAGTATGTGTCCCTGCAGTTTTCTAAAGTGACATTTTTGTCCATTTGCACTAATTTGAGGAAAGAAAATAAAATATAAAAGCCACTGACGTAACTGTTGAGCAAATAGGGTTCATTGATTTGGTGCTTGCATTACCTTGTCTTGTGTAGAATTTGCTTCCCTGTAGATGTACCACTGCTGGCCATCGTTGCTGTACAGGACCCGGTATGCTGAAACATAGTACTGGTACTCTCTTAGAGTAGAGCCTGTGGTGGTGATACCTAGAAGAAGATGATATACAGTTGGCTCCACTTAAAGTTTAAACACGACTAATAGCTAGTCTATAGCCACGCTAGCGGCTCTGTGAGGTTGTGCTTACTGGTAAATGCTAAAGCCAGCATGCTAACATGCTCATAATGACAATGCTAACATGCTGACACAGGTGTAATGTTTTACCATGTTCACCATCTTAGTTTGGCACGTTAGCATGCTAACATTTGGTAACACAAAGTGCAGCTGAGGCTGATGGGATTTTTTTTGGTCAACAACCAAAGTACTGTATTATTTTTAATATTATAATTTTGACCTGATGGTGGTGTTGAAAAGTCAGGGAATCAATTAAGGGATTACAATTCCTACATGTCTGTACCAAACATCATTGCTGTCCTAAAAATAACCTGCTGGTAGTGCTAGAGGAAATGTCAAGGGATCACCAAAATCATAAAGATTTGTCCTCTGGGCATGATGGATATCTGTACAACATTTCATGCCAATCCATCCAATAATGATATTTTACCTACTGACCTTGCCATCCCCACAGCCATTCTGCTAACATGGGTAAATAAGGTATCTCAGGTATGGTAAAACCTGAGACCCCTATGCTTACAGTTAAATAAAATAATGGGTCTACTGTATAGTAATGTCAGCTAATGTGCTTGAACTTCTGTAGTTGTGTACCTGTGATCCTCTTCTCCCTCTTGAGATCAACCTGCAGCCACTGCTGTTGGTCACTCTGAGAAGGTGCCCAGGGCAGCCCCGCCCTTTTAAGTCGTGCTCCCGATGGCGCCCACACACTGTACCGACCAATGTTGTTCTTCCACTCCCACACAGAGGAAGCAGACAGCTGAGTGTCCGCAACACCACCAGACTCTAAACCCAGCGTTCCATAGCAGCCTGCAAGCACAGACAGGCCATTCCCGTCATTAATATTTCATCACGTGTTTGACTTGAAATCTCTAATGCAGTAGAAAGGATTGCATACAGATGATCGATAACAGCAATCAAGTTTGAACTGTGAGTAAAAACAGCAAGTAATTCACTCCAGATTTTGTGCTTGCAGACTTATAAAAATTACAGACACAGAAAGATTTACGCTCAATTAAATTTTACAGATGCTGACTTTAAAATAAAAAATAATTACATTTACAGGACTTCCCCCTGCAAAACTATTACAGCTCCTAATGGTGCTTCAGTAAAAAATAAAAAACACTCACCGTTGGTCTTAAAGGTGAAGAGGCTGTTCGACAGAGTTCCTCTGAGGAGAGATGGGTAGGATTAGATGATCAAGTGAACACAGATCAGTACACGTAAGGCTTATCGATTGACTTAAAAGACGGAGTAACAGCCCAGAGTAGATGAAGAACAGAGTGAGGCAGGTTTCTGTGCCGTCGTGCCTGAAGCTCTTACCCAGTGGAAGTGACATTGTTAGCCAGTGTGGCCTCATAGTGAGGGATGCCTTTGCTGCTGACCACGCTGATCCTCCCTCCCACGGCGTTGGACACCACACCTGCATGTACGGCTGCCACACACAGAGGAGACGACTGCAGGACGCGAGGAAAGAAAGGAGAAATTAGGGACTGTGCACTTTTCTATTTCTATTACGACAAACAATAAGATAACCGATTTCCACTACATCTGATTGACTGTGAAAAACATTTCATATCATCTTTGCATGAGCCAACACAACACAGTCACTGTGTTGCTCTTTGTAATTTATAATTTGTGTGACTGCTTGCTTTTACAGCCTGACTGAATGCTGAAGACATCAAGGGATGCTTGATGGTCATTTTTGGATTTTATATGATGCATTAATGTGATTAAACACAGTATTGTTACTTGTTATTGATACTTGATTTGTGTTTAATGGTCTGGAGTTGCCTAAACAAATATTCTTGTCTGGTTATCTTTAGAGCTAGACCAATAAATCAGCCAGACCAATGTATCGGCCAATATTAGCTTATTGCAGATATATTGGTATGGGTGTATCTGTTGACCAATAAGTAACAGGACACTGTACTAAAGAAATGGCAAACTAGGTTTGAGGTCATTAGATAGTCTGTCCACCAGACGAGTAGATTTTTCCACTGTAAAATGTCCCGGTCAGTATGTATCTTGGTCACAATTCTTTAAAAATAAATTAAAAGAACAAATAAATCTAAGGGATCAATACAAAGATTGTTGTTTATGTCATGTGTTCATGTTTTTAAAAAAGACCCCACATATCAATATCTATATCAGCCTAAAAAAGCCTGCGACAGTTTCTAAATAGATTTTCCAGATATCGAGATTGACATCGCCTATGAAATCACATATATCATGATAGAATCACCCACCCTAACCCTTCGGGTAATTATTACTGGGTTAAATATTTGGCACATATTGTTTTGTGGAAGGAATTAAAACTGGTGCTTAGTATTTGTGGTAGAAATGCAGGTGAAGTTCAAGAGTTCCTAAACAATTGCTAGAAGAGGCCAATATGTAGTAGTGAAGGTAATTAAATGGTACTGCTAGTACCCAACAGTTTGGTACCGTTGCAGGTCAAGAACAGGCAGTACTGTCTGTCTCTGTGATCACAGAGAACCGGTCTTAACCTTCAGACTGTGGCAGATAAAGGCTGATGAGTCAGCATGATGTCACCTCTGTAGAGAGGATACCAAGGGGCACTGACTGTAATGATTCGCCGCTTGCAGCATTCCTGTCCAAACCTGCTGCCACATCACTGAGGAACGGACAAACACAATTACACTCCGGTCACAAGCTCCTTTCCATGAACAGCTGGTCGGGTTAGGTGGAATTTTATTACTGGAAAAGACCCACACTGGAATTCACAGCTGACAAGATTGTGGGAAGGCTCTGGTGACCCACAGAGTGACAAGCACATGTACACATGTATTCACACACTCACGCACACAGCAGTCAAATGCTGCCACTAGCAATCAACACTTGCCCTGTGACTCTTAAAAACTTCCCAAAAACACACACCACATTCTTAAGAGCGCCATACCAAACCACTAACACAAACACAAAGTATAGCTCCAAACCGCCGCACACATCGTCCAACAGAGGAAGCCACACTAGCACACATGAAATAACACACAGACATAGTATGGGTGGGATGTGGAAGTACATAAACCAGTATATGAGTACAGTACAAGAAACTCGATTTGATAAAGAGAAAGTGAGCTGCAGGGTCTGGTCTGGGCGGGGCAGCTAATGCCTGTGTGATACAGAGTGTATGCCTCGGCAGTCACCATATTGCAGCCTATAGACAGACACAGCTAAAATAAAAGCATGAATGGATCACTTGCACATTTACAAAAAAAATAATCCTAGGCATGAACATGGTTTTCTCACCGACGTGCACTCTCGCTTTTTGTCTCTCCAGAACACACACTCAACACACGGCTCTGCTCAGCACCCTCTTGCAGCTGGACTGGATTAGACACTTATTATTTTCAGCCAAACTATTATCTCACCTCCCTTTCACCCGCTGACCCTGCCCCTCCTCTGTTCCTGTGGGGCAGTTCACTCCCTGGAGCACACCCCAACGCTCCTCCCTCCCTCCCTTCAACAAACCCCGAGCTCTGAGCATGAGGTCATCAGCCAGAGACTCGGCGCCCATGACCTCAAGCGCAGCAGGGGGTGCTGTGAGGTCATCAGTCCTGGACTCGCATACCATGGAGCGGGGGGAACAAATACACAAGGAACAGAAAGAGGATCTTACTGAATCAAACAGAAAGATGTGCAGAGTTGCAGCGCAGTACCAAAAGACAAAAATAATGGACCAAGGCCATGAAAACATGAGCAATATTTTTTGGTGGTCTGGTGGATCCTGTGGTGCAACAGTGGGGATAGTGACCTAACAGCGGGAGACCACTGGGTACCGTGACTCACCTGGAAATGTGATGACCGTGGCTACCACAAAAAGAAAAAACATCCCTGCACATGTATACTCTGTGTTCTCACCTCTCTGTATCCATTAGGTATAGTTCCAGAAATCTCCTCTGTAGATGTCAGGCAGCCTGCTGGACAGTATTTACTAAGAGAGAGAGAGACACACACACACAATGAATCTCGGCCAGCTTGATCACTGCATAAACATCCACACAAAGGAAACTCTATTTACCTGAACTCTGCCTCGGGGAAATCAGTTCCTTTGTCCAAGCAGGTGATTAGATCTGCAAAAGGCAAACAAACAGTGTCAGAACTGGTTTCTCCGTACGTTCCTGCTAAGTGTCAGCCCTCTCTCTTTGTCTCTCAGGACGGACGACAACCGCCAACCTTTTCTAGGTAATTCATGTTTCTCATTATCTGCTGTTTCAGGTATTTAAAGTATTGAACCGCAGTCATCAAAACTGGCCATATTGTCCCGCAGAAAGATTTCACAATTGGCTTGATCGAAAGTAATTCTCCCCACTAGGGCTGATTGTTTACATTCTCCATTCATAATAAATAGCCAACCCAAGGTGACATCTTGTCCCAAAAACAGTCCAAAACCCAAAGATATTCAGTTATGATGTAAAAACAGAATAGCTGGGAATTATCACCGTTTTGTCTTGAAAAATGTTTGAAATGATTAGATTCTGTTATTATGATGTTTTTCTGTCAATTAATCCTCTCTAATTATATTCTAAAACTCAAATTATAGTCGACTAATCAATTAGTCAATCAAGAGAAACTTTATTGGGAAAAAAGTTTTTGGTTCCAAGTTCTCAAATGTAAGGATTTGCTGTCTTTAGATTTTGGACTTTTGGTTGGACAAAATAAGACATTTGAAGTCAACTTGAGCTTTCAGAACTTGTGGTGACCACTTTTCACCATTCTTGACAGTTGACAGATTAAACAACTACTCACTTAGTCAAAAGATAATTGACAGATTAATTGCTAATAAAATCAATTGTTACTTGCAGCCCTATCCCTCTTATAACTGATTGATCTGATTCAAAGTTTGGTTTCTAAAATGTCAGTGAAAAGTGCATGTCACAAAAGATCAAGCTGACATATTCAAAATGGGCCAATAGTTCCAAACTCACTGATGTTCAGTTCAGTATCATACATGATTGAGAAAACCAGCCAATGTTCACATTTGAGAAGCTGGATCCAGTGAATTGTGGGCCTTTTAACTGAAATAAATTACACAATTGTCTCTATTTCAGCTTAACTCCAAACACATCAAAGTCGCACAACACAAAGAAACGTGTGTGGGGGTGTCGGGGGTCGCTAATGACGTGAGTGTTTCAGTGATGAGGCACACCACATATCTCCAACAGGATGCTGTGGGCTGCTGGGAATTCCATGTAAACCTTGTGGTGGTGGCCAGTCTCGCCAGAGTCTTGACCACATTATCAAATAACCCATTTCTCTTGTAAACAAACCAGTGACTCAAACTGACAAATACCCCCAACCAATGCAAGTTGCTATGGTGACTGATTTACTTAGCTGTGCAAACTGTCCTCCCACGCTCATCTGCACAGTTAGTTACATGACAAGAAAAACACATATCAGTTCAGTGGGGCGGTCGGGTGGGGGTGAGGCTAGTAGGGTCCATTGATGGCCTTGTTTGCTTTCCACTGTGATTCAGTCGACCCGAGATGACCACTTAGACAGAATTATTACCATTCAGCACATACGCCACTGCCTTCCTCTTCTTGTGGCTTCAATTATCTGTTTATCTGAAGATGTTCCACATGACCAAGCACAGCCTTCTAAAATCGCAACAACACTCTTTCTAAAGAGAAAATGCACCAATTTTAGACATAAGAATCCGTTTCAGTGCTTTGTGGACTACTAAATACAATTGACACAGTGTTCTTGCATCTGCTGATCATGTCTATACATTAACTATCAAGCTGTCAGGTGCAAAGGTTTGGTGGTGAAATCTAGGTCTTTTTGACTTATTCTTTGACCAGATCAGATTTGATCTTTTTAAATGTGATATCTTTGGGTTTTGTATTGTTGGTCACACAAAATAAAGAATTAGAAGACCTCACCATGGAATCTTGGAAATTGTGATAGACATTTTTTTATTATTTTAAACTAAACAATTAGTCAGTCATTCCAAAAAGAGCTGATTAAAAAAGGTAGGGTATGCAATTACAATCCAATACACATCGTTTTGACAAATCCAGCAAATATCTCCTCACTTGTCCACCGACACCTTGGCTAACGTTGGTTACATCACTTGCTGTGCAATGGTTTGCTGTATATATCATGGTATTTGTCATAGTGCTGAATATCTCAAGAATCACATACCCAACCTTAAAAATGACAAAAATAAGCGGGATGCGAGCAAGACGCTTTATCAGATTTCCTGAATGTTCGTCTTCTTGATGAAATAACATGTATGTGTTGATTCAGGCCGGCACCGGTCTGTCTCCCTTGCTCTCCCAGATTAACTTAAAAGGTTAATGTCTGAAAGGAACTTACTAACACACTTCTCCAGTAATATATTATCACATTAGAGAAAGGTCAGCAGTGCCTTCCCTTACAATAAAACCACAAATATTACTACTTTACATTTCCCTAAATTACTCTCACTTCTGCTTGCCCCATGTTCCTGTTCTTCTTAAATGGCTTCATGATGTTGGATGATATGCTCGGGATCCTGCCTTTTACAAATGACGTAAAACATTATGATTGGCTGTACATTGAAAAGCATGCGGATGCAGTGTGTTCGCACTGCATGTTAATCTGACTGACCAATCCTAATGCTAACCTTAGGTAACAGGGAAAGACTTGCTTAGTGGGAGGGTGGGATGTAACACCATTCAAAAATCTACCAATTGAATGTTGCCAGACTTGGAAGTGAAAACCCAATGCGTAGTGTAGTATTCAAACTTACACTTTCCACAAACTGATATGAAATAATTAAATGAAGTTTGGCATTTTACATTTGATGTAGATCTCTTTCTCTACTCAAACAATCGCACAGAATTTGGTAGCAAAGACACAGCATCCGTACACTTTACGTCATACAGCCAATCATAATGTGTTTGTTATCATCTGTAAATGCCAGACCCCGAGATGATTTGCCAGGCCGAGTGCGTCTAGTACCTACACCGTCTCTGCCTATTCTCACTTCAGAAAGATCTGGCCTACACTCACTCACTTCACATTGTGTTTTCAGTTCAGCTCACTCAATTCATTCAAATGAGTAAATGTAAATGTTCAGTTCATGAAAGTTAATAACATTTTGTTTGTTCAGCATTTATGTTTGTACTCTAAGACACTCTGAGGAGTCAGCGGTTACTTTTTACCCTTATCAAACTTTGTTTTAAGGCCGTTTTTCACCAACAAACACTAACATTGCAAAAAATATCACAGTTAACGTGACTTATAAATGCACCTTGCTAACTAAACTAGCTAGCTCGACCCTCTTGTCTGAATATAGAGACTTCTCAAGATGGCGACAGCCAAAATGCCAAACTCCTGGCTTCAAAGCGGCCCTTTCCTTAGAGGTGATTTAGAGATCCTCAGTGGTCCAAAACTTTGGACCCAATTAAAAACAGATCAGACAGACCAAACAGCAATGTGCCTCTAGGGATGTCAATGTTGGACAGTCAGTTGGTCAGTGCACCACTTTTGTGACTGGTCTTGTTCTCCTGTGGTGATTTTGATGCGCCACATGATTAGAGCTGACAGTATGGATCAGAGTCTGCTCGGATTCACTCATGGTCCGAGACCCACAGCAATTACAATAGGACTTCATCTAGTCTGATTGGACCCGAATATAATTTGGTCTGATCGGATCTCAGTAACTACAACAGAAGTGGATCTACGGAGAGATCTAATGTCCTGTATCGTTTTGTGAAATGCTGATCTAACTGATTTGTTCACAGGTTTTATTAAATGTAAAGTCTTTCTTAGTTGTTTTGTGCTTTGCACCTCAGGCCAAAGACCTAAAGTACACTCTTGTTCCTAAATAAACACACATGTTTCTGTAAACGGACAAGTGTCACTGTCAAAACATTTTCTATAATTTCATGTTTTATGCGAATTTAAAAAAAACATCCTAGCAGTGGATGAAACAAGGCTTTGGTAACTTCTACAAATCATGAGCCTTCTGAAAACCCCAAATTGCTCCGTGGTGAAGCTACAGACAAGACTGTTTTTCATGAAATACAAAGCTGACATACGGAGATTTAATGTTTTCACATAACAACAGTTAGAAGGCAGTTTTAGACAAACACATCACCATTCCAGGACAATCTAATTAGTTCTGAACAGTTACAACCAGGGAGGAGGTGCAGAATGAAACAGCTGTAATGACACTCACATTAGACAAACACGCACAGTCTCCAAAGCAACTCTTCACTGCGATGACATCAACAAAACATCATTCCAGTCTGCTACGACTTCATCACATGACACCCCCGCCTCCCCTCCCTCCCCTGCAGGCTGGGGACCTACGATGATCAACAGATGAGATGACAGGCGAGTGAGTTGAGTGTGTGTTACCTCTGTGTTCAGTGGTGGAGTACGACAAGTAGAATCCACGTCCACTGTGGTGGGTCCCACTCTGGAACAGGACAGTGACCTGGTTGCCAGTTGACTCGATCAGCTCTTTGATCTTCAGACCTAAACCGCAGTACTTCACTGTTAAAACAGCACAGGATAAGACACAGGAGATGCAAGAAAAGGAGGTTCTGGTTAGTTATGCTGTTTAGTTTAACATATATAACAGCGTTATATGTAGCATTATTGTACAAATTTATCCATCAGTATGTGCAGTTAGTAAACTATTAAATTAACTTTTTACGGTATCTTTCTATTCCTTGTGAGCTGGATGCAACGTAATTTTTTTCTACTGTGCACTTGTCCTGTGTACAGTCTGAATGACACAAGATATTAGTACAGAAAGGATGCTTTTTTTAGTGGTTGGTTTAACTAACTGGGCTATACACCTCTCACAGTCTGAGACATGACGACACAGCTGAAACGTGAATGACAACACTCCATGACATGACAAAGATAATATAATTGTCGAAATTAATTTGCAAATTTTACAATCTTCAATATTTAGGGAAGCAAGTTTCCCAGTTGCCGGTGACAGATTACCGTGTCAGAGTTTCTGCAGGGTTTACCAAATTCAGCTTAAGACTTTCTATGCACTATAGTGAGCAGAAGTGACAGTATTTGCTACAGTTTTGATGGTGCTGACTGAAACTCCTCAAACAAGGATTAAACAGCCTCATGCAGTCCGATCCACTGTCACAACAATCCAGCTTTTAGTTTAGAAGTGTTTAACGTCTCCCGACAGCCTGCAATCTGATAAACATTTTATAATTAACATCCCTGCCAACAGCAGGCAAAAGAAAATATTTAAGACTTTTGTAAATTTAAGACTTTGTAATACCTTGTAAGGTCTTTTCTTGAGGAAACTAAATTAAATGTTTGTTAAGACTTTTTATGACATGCAGATACCAGGGAGTGTCCTTTTAAAACATTTGAAGACATAATGTTTGGCCTAAAACTGAAAGTGAAGTGAGATTTCCCCTGCAGTTCACATCCAACCTTTTCTAAAATTGTTTAAGGGGACACATTTTAACAGCACCATAAAAAAAAAATGTATCAACAAGTGACTAATTAAATTCCTCATCCATGTATTAAACTCAGCGTTTACAGGTCCAATATTTTGCTTAATTTTCATTGGAAGTTTGCCTGGCAGCACTCTGGCATGAGGCCAACTGTGACTGTAGGCTTAGCTTGTGACCAATGAATTGTCAGTCACCATGTTTACATGCACTATAGTAACCTGGTATTGTCTGCTTTCTGCAGCAACTTAATTTCTTGAACACCATGTAAATAAATTCTTCAGACGGAGGAAGTATCGCAGTGAAAGCGGTGCATACGGGTGAAAACAAAGATTCTCTCTGGCCTTGTATCATTCTATGTTGTACCGTAATTAAAATCAACACATTCTGCTTTATGGTGTCTGATAATTCAATGAGCAAGAGGCTAATGAAACTCAAAAAAATCAATTGGGTAAACTCAAAGATGCAACAAGTCTGTTTCCACAACTTGAAGTGTGTTGTAAAGATCCAGTAAGTATCTCTTCAGGCTGCTCAGTCATATCTTTAATAAGGTTTAAAATATTCCAACCTTGGTTGAAAAACCTGGTCACTGAGAAGTCTGAATACTAAACAGCTGTATATAATGCAGGTTTCACAGTAAATAGGTTATTGCAGCACATGTTGGTTTGTTCTCCAGCATGACATAACCTGGTTTCGAATGTACATGTAAACATAGACAGAGGAAGCTATTAAGATGCATACATACACATATGGAGACTCTCAGGTTATGCTAGTTCATACAACAAGTGTAAAAGTGTTTATAGTGTTTCCGAGCAGCCATACTCGAAGGCGGAGCAAAAAGAGAGAGGGATTGGACGTGATATGTTTAAATGTGGGGATAGAGAAACCCATTTTCACAGAGAGTCTCCCCTTGAAGGCATTCATTGTGTTGCACTCAGTTGTTCAGTTGTAAGTGAAAGAAATAGTTGTGTAAAGAATGAAACAGCAAAGCATGAAGCGAGTGTGAATGTCAGCAGAATTGGTCTACTATCCACTTGTCACTCTCACCAATCTCACTCCTATCTTTTCCAAAGCCGTTGTAGAGGCGGAGGTAGTTGACCTGGCAGTTGCTGTCTTCTATGTCCAGCTCAGCAAAGCGAAAGTGGATCCTGCTCCCGGGGGGCACACTGACCTCCCACTCACACACCGTGTTGTTCGGGTACGTCCCCGGGTGACCCAGAGAGGACAGAGTCCCACTGTTGGGGCCAAGCACACTGGGACCACAGCCATCACCTACAGGACAACAACACATAAGTTTCAGGTGGGGGGCAGATTTTCATCAAAACTATGAAAACAAACTGTTAATTAGCCTTTAACTCAAACGGGCTCAGAGGGTTAACATATAAGGCTATTCTTTATTTTTCTTAATTTCAACAAATCCTATAAAAAGACCAACATAAACAATGAATTGATCTTCTTGATTAGTATTGTATGTGTACCCAAAGTCTGATATATCTTAATTCTCTGTGCTGAAGAGCTCCACTATTGTTAAAAACTATTAAACCGCACTGTTGCTGTGGGTGGAAATGTGAATGTTGATCTACCTAGGAGCATAAACACTTGCTCTGGTACATCTATAAATGTTAACTTAGTGATATTTGTTTCCTTTAGCACATGCAGCACACAGTAAGGCAATGTAACAAAACCAAATATTACTTGGTTTTTTTTCTCCTTTCACACAGCTTTGTATGTTTGGGGATTTGTTTACATTTCTTTCTAGTTAGTAACAAGTAAATGTAGTTGGCATCGACTAAAACAGGCATTTTCATCTGTAAAATGTAGCATGTAAGTGATCGCTGGGACAACTGTAGCTGAGGTAATAAACCAATTCAGTCATAAATACATTTATTAATTAATAAATAAAGAGGGTTGGTGGTTGGACTCCAGTCCACATTTTGAAGTGTCTTTGAACTAGACACCGAACCCAAAAAAAATATGTGTGAATGTTGCTTTGGATTACAGCTGAAAAGACTAGACGATTATTCAATTAGTCGACTGACAGGAATTTGTATTTAACTATGATGTGATTAATTATTTAAGTCATTTATTAAACAAAGTTCTCACTTCTCCAAAGCTAAGGAATTGCAGCTTTACTTTGTCTTGCGACTGTAAACTGATTATCTTTAGATAATCGTACTGTTGGTCAAACAAAACATTTGAAGACATCAGGATATTTTACAGGCCAAAAAAAAATAAAAAATAGTAGACCTGTTGCAGACCTGCTTTGTATAAAAGTGCATGCCATATGATTGTAATGTGCTGTAATTAGGTTCAGCAGAGAAGCTGGCTTTGGGTTTTATGGCCGATCCAAACGTTTGGCTGTGCTGCAGAGAAAATAAACTAATTCTGACCAAAACACTAAATTTAAGATCAAGATTTTATTTGTTTTTGGCAGGTAAAAACCCACCTACTTAAAGGTTGGTAAGATTTAAGAAATCTTGAAATCGATTTTGCAAAAGAAAAAAAAAAGAAAGATGACTCCAGACTTTTTAAGAAGTTTGTTTTGTGTCTTCAGAGCCCTGATCTGTCATCAAGCAGAGACATTGTGTCTGTCGATGCTGTGGACCCGGAGATAACACTCAACAGTCACGCTTCATGGTGCTAAGTGGATGTTCTAGAGTTATGTAAGAGTCCCTCAGTGGATACTATCCAGATGAACAGGACAAAAACAAAGCTGCTTCCCTCATTCTGACTCACAAATACTGAACAACTGCATAGTTCTCAGCAGGCGTTCATATTACCTTCCTAAAAGTTAAAAGGCTCAAAAACAAACCAGAAAACAACTTAATTGAATCAGAAATCCAACCTGCTGTTTTATTATCAGGCCTACTTATAAGAGTTTGATTATCACACAAAAACGCAGTTATAATTCATTAATTATAATAGAGAATTATGACTAACCGTGTCCACGTGTTTACAGTCATACCCCCACTGCTACCCCACCCCCAACCACCTGAGGTTGGGGGTTGCATGCTCTAAAAACACTCGTATTTAGGTACAATATGGTGTAAAGTAAACCGACACTAATCTAAACACACTGGGCTTTCCGTGTAGTGTAGTAGCGAGTTTATGGTAATTTAGAAATGGGGCTACCTGTAACGACAAACAAGGCTAAGCTCCCAAATGTGCTGCTCTGTCTCTCGTACACAGAGAACTGAACTCCAGACTCCATTAAGAAATCTGCCAATTTAAAAAGGTAGCTAGCTTATCGGGAAACGCAACTAAGTGATAGGCTGCCTTTGAACTTTTAACAAATCATTCAAAGCCCCATGTTAATTCAGCAAGCAACTGGTCCACCAAGTAACAATCACTCCTTTACAATCTCAGTTTTTTTAAGAACCAGTTTGCCTGGTTTTACTACACCCGTCGTTTACCAAACACACCATGACGGGCGGCGGCAAGCGGTGTAAACCAAGCGGAACTCCACGTACACACTGCCATGTAAGGTAGGTTTAAGTAATTCGGACAATAACAGTGAACCGTGCTTTAAGCGCTACTCGAAACGCCCGTGTTCACACTTAAACCAGCATGGCCGCATGTCGCCGCGGCTTCGCTCGGGCTCCTCCAGTTGTCACCGCAGCTGTGTGGCACCAACCTTTCTGCGCTCGACAGCCTTTCGTGGTGAGAATGATGAGAATCGACAGGACGAGAACCCTGGCCCCTGTCGGTCCCCTGCCCACCATTACCGCTCTGACCATAGCAGCCTGCAGTCTGAATGCATAATGCTCGCTTCTGGACCGGCTGCACCGCTTCAACCTGTGCCGAGCGCTGATGGCGGGGGTACAAAAGCTAAATATCCTCCTCGAGAGCGAGTCCGCGTGTGCTTCCCTCCCGAGGATGTCTTTTTGCTTGTTGTTTAACAATCCAGTGGTTAGCGACACTCTGACTAGGTAGGTAACTGCTCCACACACACACACACACACATCTAAACTGTGGAACTACTTCCTCCACTGAAGCTCCTCCTCCTGATCTGGATCTGGGATACCCGAGTCCCCCAAGTGGTCTGAATGATCCAAGAATTAACCCCTATAAATATGGCACAAAAGCTTTGACAACAAACTGCAAACATACAGACATAAACACATAAACACATAACAGCTGGCAGACCCCACGATAAAGGTTTTGTTTCCACCTGAGAATATTTTTCACAGTCTAGTCTAGTTTTTCCAGTGGTGGCAGAAGTGTTTAAATAATTTAGCCTACTTAAATAAAAGTATTAATACCACACTAGTAAAAGTCCTGTATTCAAAATGTTACTTAAGTAAAAGTATGAAAGTAAATGCAACAAAGTAAACAAAAGTAAAAAATACTCCTTAGTCAGAATGGCCCCTGGCAGTGTTATATTATTGGATGATTAGTAATGATAATATGGACATATTGAAGTGGTACTCCCCAGCGACCCGATCCCGGATAAGCAGATGAAGATGGATGGATGGATGGATGAAGTGGTACTCCAATTTTATAGTAAGCCATGGTGGAGCCAACTTTATTTGTATACTGTTTTGTAGTCTAAGCTGTACTTTTGTATTTAATAAACTGGCCCAACAAGTCCATATGTTTTGCAAGTAAAATCTTAATCTGAGATCTGATACCTTTTGTTGTTAAATAAATGTTTGTGGAGTAGATGTACAGTATAAGATACCCTAAAATAGACACACTCAAGTTAAGTCCAAGAACCTCAAAGTTATACTTAAGTAGTATGTTGAGTAAATGTACTTTACACCACTGTCTGTCTCAACAGTAGATCAAAGTCTTTTATGAATAAAGCTGTAATATTACAGGAAAACATACTCAATCATCAAAGAGTATTACAAGAAAATGGTTGCTTCAAAAACAAAATGGTCCCATACACCATGTTTGTGTCTTTTTTTGTTTATTTATTATTCTGTGATAATTGGGTTCTTAACGGTTGAAACAGTATGATTTAAGGTCATCCACAGAACACCCTACTTTTTTAGAGCTTTTACATTTTCTCTTAACTTTAGTCTTGAGATGTTATTATTTTCTTTTTTAATTCCATTTTTTTTTCTCATATTACGAATTTTTCTCAAAATGTTTTGAGATTTTGTTCCTAACAATGACCCTTACATGATAGATAGATAGATAGACATACAGATAGATAGATAGATAGATAGATAGATAGATAGATAGATAGATAGATAGATAGATTCAGCTGCGAGGCAGAATGTTAAACCACAACCCAGTACAGAGTTATTTAAGTGAGACTGTTCATAGAGAAGTTTATTGTGACTTATTAATGACTGGGAGGCACGCATCACACGCCTAGGCTTTAGCTGGACATCTCAGAATAGTAAAGCAGGACAATAATGGGAAGAAATATCCGCTTATTATTCTTCTACAATACACCCTCACTTGGCAAAGCGCTTGGATGTGATGCAACTGTCAGAGTAACCAATAGTAACATGTAGCAACAAACACAGTTTTGAGCCTGTAGCCTGTGAGTAATATGTGGGAGGATTCAGAGCTTTTTATTCTGGATGGATGGGCCAGTGTGTGTGTGTGAGAGAGAGAGAGAAAAAGAGCGAAAGAAATTGTGTTTCTACATCTCTGTGTGCAGACTGTAGGCAGATGTCCATAAGGGTGTAAGAAAGTGTAATGTTTAGAGAAGCAGCCAGATAGTCTCTCACGCTGGATTTATCCACTTCTACATTCTCACACACCCACCACGTCAGAGTTTGTTTTTCACATTCCCTACATGTATTTTTAAGACACATCTGCACAAGGGGAACTCCAATATATTTACTGCAGCAGGCTTATCAAGATGCGAATAAATTGATAAACCCAAATATTGTATGTGTAAACGACAAAATCAACCATTTAATTTCCTTCATATGTTTGTTTTTCTTTGCAGGACGTGTCTTGCGTAATTTTTCAGATTTCGTGCAGTTCCTTCCGGAGCCACAAAAGGCTTTATAACATTTTTTTCACATAATATGCAGTTCTACTCCCGAATATGTGTAAACTCATTGACAATGATGTGTAAATTCAGTCCAGTTCCCCTATAATTGCCTTAATAAACCCCACTATATAGAAATGGTGACCCCTTCTGTGACAGTGTCAAAAAAAACTATAGTGAAAATCATAAAAGCAGATTTTATGGCATAACAATTGTATTAGATTACACTTGATTGTACAGGCATGCCTAACAAAGTGGCCACTCAGTGTATATCCCTTTTACTTGCCAAAAGGCCATTCATAGACAAAGGAATGAACAGTATGTAATCCCACATAGACATGTGCCTTGTGTTTGGGGTCAGTTAGACCCCAGAGAGCTCTAAATCCAACAACTTCCTATGAACAAACTGGAAAAGTCCAATAACAGAAAACCCAATAGACTGGTGACACCAGCCCTTGCATGGAAATCCATTATTTTTAACCATGTTTTACAGCTGAGGGCACAAACAGAAGTAATGTGCTGTTTTCTTCTGAAATGTCATCAGGAAATTCTTATAAAAATAGGAAAAGGCTGATAAAACAATGTTAAGTATGTTTTTTTGAGCCACTGGGAGTATAAAGCTGATGATACACAGAGCAACTTTTAGAGCAATCGTGCAGGGCAACGTTGCCGTCAGTGGTAATGAGTAAAGATTACTACCGTAATCCCCTTCCCCCACCACTCCACCACCCGTCCCGCACCGCCGCTAAAAACATAGTCGGACTTGCCACTAGAAAGATTGCCCAGCAACATTGCTCAAAAAGGTGTCCCGAGTATCATCAGCTTAAGGAGTAGAACGTTAGGTTTACAACTGTTGTTGATTCAACTATAGCCTACATATGGTAATGTATATGGCCTTAGTTTATGGTGGTGTATTCTGGCCATTTTCCTGATATTTCCCCTAACATTTGACTTTATTTGGCACCTTTCTCAGTAAATATTGTTGCAGAGCTGCTGTATTATATCAAATTAATTGTGGAATAAATTGTTCGTGACTCTAAGACTAGTCTATGTATTGATCAGATGTTGAGATAGCTTAGTATGGGGTTTATAAGTCTCATGTCAAAGATCTACTGTATCTTACCTACCAACATCAAGTTACATATTATTATTATTATTAATACACAGTGTTTCTTGTGTTATGGATCTACACTGGGATTTCTGAATTGGTTAATTTTATGATACTGGATAAAGAGCAATTAAACATTCACATTTTTAACTGGTTGTCATTATAAAGACATTGATTAACTGTCACAGTGAGGACCTCTGCTGGAAAGCTACATATTTTGTGAGAAAGGTAGTCCAGTCCACTGCTGAAGTACTGCTGAAACTAGATTGCACCCCTCAGTGGTCACAAAGTATTATGACTAGTTAGCAACAGCTGGCCATTGTTAAACTTCTATGTGGCGAGTGCTGTAATATCACTCAGATGAGAAACTATCACTTTGTCTCACACTACTTATTTTGACATGCCTTTATGTTATGTATTATCCAGCCCATATTGTACGGGAACTGAGTGCTACTCAATTCATATAATTTCTTTGTTTTATTGCAAGCCAAAGCATTGCTTGCGACTCAGCATTTCTTTCATTTCCCATGTCAGATGATTTGATAAGGGCTTGGCTGGGGCCTTTTGGGGGAAAAAAGACTTAGTCATCACATGCCTAGATCTTGTCTGTACCTGCTGATCCAGGTCTGGATTACAATCAACCCAGAGATACAGGAATCAATAGTTAAATTTACTGAGCTAGTGGTACTGAATTTACACTGTACGATGACAGAAATAGTCTGTATTCTACTTCTAATGTACAGTAGTGCAAGTCAAGTAGATATTGCTAAACACTGTACAGTAAGGTGCAGAAGTGTCCTTGAATATTAAACAGAATCTTAAGGGTTTGAAGCGCAAAAGAAAAAATGGATAGAAAAATTATTCAGTATATAAGAGATATGATGAATAAATGTATCAGTCCACATGAGCAAGTCTCTCTTTGTTATATGAGAAAGTAAGGTGAGGCCAGAGGAGTCCCACTTTCCGACACAGAGGAAACTCGTTGAACAGGGTGTCCAACGAGTCTGGCATCTGGCAGCTGGCAGGCATGATTTCCTGTGTCATCATGAAAGTGCTTGCCTTTTGATTTGTAAGCCATGGAGGGGATCAGAGACATTATCAGTGATGTTGAACAGTTTGTGTATGGTCTTCCTCACCCGCTTTTTAAAATTTGTTTGTGTCACTGGCAGCAGAAGGATATTGCTGACGAAGCTTTGCAACGTCCTTCCACACACATTAAAGGATCTATTCTTCTTCAATAAATAAAGTCTGCCCTCTCTTCTTTCCTGTGGACAGCCTCAGTGTGGCGGAACAAAATAAAACATGGAAAATATAATTTAAAAAAAAAAATGCTACAAGACAGGACAGTTTCTAATGGTTAATAACAAAAATGGTTAAATTATTTAGCTCTTACACTTGCACTACACAACAGCAGCTGAGAAACAAATGATGCAACACTAAGAGTGCTGGTGTGACGAGAGTATGATCTGACTTTTTGAATTAATTAAATTTACACTCTTTTTCTCTTAGTATTGGTAATATCAATACTTGCTTCTGTGGTAAATACATGTTGCTCTTTGAGTGTGTCCAGACCATTTAAATCTCAAAATGATTGCTCACTGATTGGCATTAGAAAACACTTAAAAACAAGCAGCCACTGAATAGCAAATGAAAGCAGCACAATAAAATGTTTCAAGAATGAATGACACCTCTGGTCTTCAGTTCCCTCTTGTATATCGAAATGGATACATGGCATCCTTTTTTAGGACATTAACAAAAGACCATATGACATAAGGTTATAAATATTGTTTTGGGAAGTTATTTGAATTTCCTGCAGACGTTCTAAGTCTCAGAACATAACTGTTCTTGACCAGTCAGCTTGAGAGGGTCAACAGATACAGGGGAAACCTGACTGGTATTCT